TTAATATTGAATAAATGGCTAAAGCATGTGAAAGCAACAACAACTACTATCTATTTATAATATCCATATTTATGCATGTGTATGTACATACATACATATATGGATGAATTTGCATGTACATACAGATATTAAAGCGAAGATTTTGGCATAAATTTAAAGATATTTTACCTTAATGGCACTGCACTTTTGCAAATCAAGTGGTGTGGCAAAAAAATGTACCGAGCACACATAGGGATACTTTGGAGTTGTTTACTTAAACTACCTCCTTTAAACTTCCTTTTGGTATCATGGGTTAGATGACTAAGAAGTTGTGAATGTGTTTGTAAATCGTTTGAATTTCAGAGGAAAGTGGTGCGCCGTTGCTGGCAGGTATAATTCGTAACAACACGAACGCATACCGTGTGTACGCATACATAGCAAACACGCTGTATGGAATAAGTATGCACATTTATTTATTTATTATTTGTAAAATTACAAAATAGTATGATTTGTATTTAATTGGTCAAAAATATTTTAATCTTTGTTAAAAATTCTGTGGTCCTGAAAAGGACCGTTTTTTGTTTTATTATGTTTCTATTGTCCGCAAAATTTATTTAACCGCCGAAACCATACAGAGTGCGGCCTTGTCTCTTCAGAGCATATACAACATCCATTGCTGTAACTGTCTTTCTTTTGGCATGTTCGGTATAAGTGACTGCATCACGGATAACATTTTCCAAAAAAATACCTTCAAAACTCCACGTGTTTCTTCATATATCAAACCAGATATACGTTTCACACCGCCACGACGAGCCAAACGTCTAATAGCTGGCTTGGTAATACCCTGGATGTTATCACGCAAAACTTTACGATGACGCTTGGCACCACCTTTTCCCAAACCTTTACCACCTTTGCCGCGACCAGTCATTTTTTTTTTTTATATGTATATGTATATTTATTCACTAGTAGAGAACACAAACACTGCACTTCACCGAAATCGGTAACACAATTAATGCCTGAACTAAAAAGTGCCTGTATTTATACAAGAATCGTATGTTGCCGAATGAACAACCAAGATACACAAATAGAGTACAAAATATATCTCTATCTCGTTTCGACACGAAAATATTCGCGCACCGTCTTCAAAAGGAACGCAACTCAAAATTACACGTTTGTCAGAAAATGCGAAAAACTATTTCTTAGCACATGATAATCATATCAACAAGGGAGACTTTGCCTTAGGTTTTTTTAACAAATTATAACAAAAATTTTCTCCGGCTTTTGCTGAAAGGTAAAGAAAAGCTCAGTGTACATTTTTAGCGCATATATTCATTGACAAATTTTGTGTTGTGTCGCGTTTGAAGACGGTATGTAATATCTCAACCCCATTATACTACTTTAGCAATGAACGGGAGAAACGTTTTTGTGTATATTATTATTTCTACACTGACGCTAAGGTATTATTTAATATTAGTACAGTGTACAGTTAATCAGGGTTAGTGTTCTTTCTTGAATAAAGTGAATAGTAGAAAATGGCTCGTACAAAGCAAACAGCCCGTAAATCGACTGGTGGTAAGGCACCACGCAAACAATTGGCAACAAAAGCTGCCCGTAAGAGTGCACCAGCGACTGGTGGTGTAAAGAAACCACATCGTTATCGTCCCGGTACAGTGGCTTTGCGTGAAATTCGTCGTTATCAAAAAAGTACTGAATTGTTGATCAGCAAATTGCCATTCCAGCGTTTGGTACGCGAAATTGCCCAGGATTTCAAGACCGATTTACGTTTCCAGAGTTCCGCTGTTATGGCTTTACAAGAAGCAAGCGAAGCATATTTAGTTGGCTTATTTGAAGATACCAATTTGTGCGCCATTCATGCCAAGCGCGTCACAATTATGCCCAAAGACATTCAACTGGCTAGACGTATTCGTGGAGAGCGTGCTTAAATAAATTACGAACGAAAAATCTCAATTTATAAAAAACGGTCCTTTTCAGGGCCACAATTTTTTAAACAAAAGATCATCAAAGTTTTAATTATCAAAAATCGTTTTATTTCGAATATACATACATATTTACAACATTAGTATTTTACCTACCGATTTTCACTCGTTTGCGAGGTATAAATTTGTGTACTGTACCTTTTGCATTTCAGTGACGCTGTTAGTTAGTTGTATGCATGTGCATGTACATACATATGTATGTATGTACATATATACGTAAAAGTATACCTAAATATGTATGTATGTGCAATTATTCTGTATCCACTGTGGCTTATTCAGTTATTGTACGTACACGTGTGTAAAAACAGTTTCTAAATAAGGGACAATTTTGGCGCGAATCCAAGCGCTTGGACTCTCGAAGTGGTTGTTGATTTTATATGCACACAATATACATATAAAATTTCTTTGATTGGCACATATAATAAATGAAAATTAATCAACTATTTTTAAGAAAATATATTTAATCTCTTTGTAAATGAATTTTGTCGTCCTGAAAAGGACGGTTTTGTTGCGTGGATGAAATGTTTAAATTGACTGCAATGTACACTTTAAGCTTTCTTTTCGGTTTTCTTGGGCAAAAGTACAGCTTGAATGTTAGGCAAAACACCACCTTGAGCAATGGTCACACCAGACAGCAGTTTATTCAATTCCTCATCATTGCGGATGGCCAATTGTAAATGACGTGGAATGATTCTGGTCTTTTTGTTATCACGAGCAGCATTACCAGCCAATTCAAGTACTTCAGCCGCCAAATATTCCATAACAGCAGCTAAATAAACTGGAGCGCCGGCACCAACACGTTCAGCATAGTTGCCTTTGCGCAACAAGCGATGAATACGACCGACGGGAAATTGAAGACCAGCACGGTTAGAACGAGACTTTGCCTTTCCCTTAACTTTGCCACCTTTACCACGACCAGACATTTTTGGTTATTTTTCTTTCACTTTTCACTTCACTAATAAAACACTTCACAGTATGCTCACAAGCAGTATCAGGGATTAGGAGATTAGAATTGTGTTACCGATTTCGGTGAAGTGCAGTGTTTGTGTTCTCTACTAGTGAATAAATATACATATACATATAAAAAAAAATGACTGGTCGCGGCAAACGCGGAAAGTGGTTATAAAATATTGACACTTATTGGACATATTGTGTTTGTGAATACAAAATACAAAATACAAATATTTAAAACTAATCAGTGCATTGTGTGTTGTGCTGTGAACAATTTTGCGAAATGGACGCTACAAATATTTTTACTCCTCTTGGAGGAGGTAGTGATGCGGAAGTTAATGGGCTAAAGTCTCAAAATTCCGTAGACAATGCAAACATACCTAACAAGAAAAATAAAAAAAATCGTAAGAAACGACGTCGTGAGAGCCAAGAATTGGCTGACGGTGATTCAATGTACTCTAATAAAAGAGATGATTATAACAGAATTGTGGAATTCAACAAAAAATTAATTGTACTCAATGAAGAACTTTCAAAGAAAATTAATGAACTTGAAAATCGATTAAAAAATTATGAAGTTGCAAACAATACTAAAAATGGAAATGTGCATGACACAGTAATCAACGAAACTAATAAAAGCGTAATAACGCAGGTTGAAAAGACTGCAACTGCGGTTTACAATTATCAGCATTCAATAACTGATTTGAGTGGGATGGATGAAGAAGAAGCAGATGAGCATACAGAGGTCGGACATCAGTTTAAAACGGCATCAACTCCGAAGCAAGGTGTTCCTCGATCGAATTTATTGCCCTCTTTGGGAGCAGTCAATAATGTAAGTTCTAAGAAAATAATTAAAAGGAGTAAACCTCCAATTTTCGTGTGTTACAATATTAATTTAAAAGAAATATCTTCACGACTTGGTGGACTTTTGGGCCACAAAAATTTTTCTTTCAACATTATTAATAAAAATGTCACGCATATAAGTGCATCCACTCTTGGAGAGTATGACATAGTAAAAAAATTTTTAATAAATAATGAAATTAATCATTATACCTTCACTCCAAATGAGGCTAAGCCATATACTTTAATAATAAAGAAACTTTCACATATTTATGATGAAGTGGAAGTTCTCGATTACTTAAATAGTTTAGATTTAAATACAAAAGTAATAAACGTAAAAAAACTTAAATTTAATTGGTTGGTACAACTTTCAAGGGAATCCAATCTTTTAGAGTTTAAAAAAATACAATACATACTGAATTGCAAAGTTAGCTTTGAAGGTTTCAAAAACGACTCCCCCATTCAATGCAAAAACTGTCAGCGCTATTCTCACGTGGCAAGTAATTGCAGCATGCCATTTAGGTGTGTCAAATGCAGTGAGTCGCATGGGCCAGGCAACTGCAAAGTTCCGCCCAAGCATCTCAACATTTCTGAATATGTCTACACTGACCCATCGTCGGGTACCGTCGTCAAAAGAGTGGGACTACCGATCAAGTGCGCAAATTGCCTTGAAGAGGGTCATACGGCCAATGATAAAAAATGCCCTAAAAGGGTTGAAATAATCAGTAGGCTCAAATCTAAGGTAAACAATAAAAATTTAAAAGTGAACAATGAAACAACGCGTCCCACAGCTTCATCTTACGTTAACAAAAATATTTCGTATGCTTCTAAATTATCTTCGCCGGCTCGGCAATCACAAACAGTTATTTTTGAAAATAAATTTAATACAATAAATGCTGATTGTAAACGCCTTCTGGGCAAGGATTTTTTTAGTTGCCTGACCAAAATTGAAAAATTGTCGAAGAGTTACGAAAAAATTAACAAGGATGAAGAAAAATCTGAAGCACTCTTTAACCTGTTTTTAACTTTACGTCTTGATGGTTAAAAACCTTAAATGCATTTTTATAAACGTAAATTCCTTAATATCTAGACAGAAGCGTCATTTTTTTAATATTTTCTTAAAAACTCACAATCCAGATGTGGTGCTGATAGCTGAGCATTGTCTCAACATCAGACACAAGGTTTCATTTGATGGGTACAATTTCATAGCGCAGTTTCGTAATGTTGGCAAAGGAGGTGGCACTGCAGTTTGTGTTAAGGATTGCTACAGATATTCGAAGATTTCCACTGTTTCGACTAGTATTGAAAATGTGGGTGTTGAACTTGAATTGGTGGGTGGCGAAAAAATAGAATTTGTGGCTATGTACAAAACGCCGCGGCAAAAACTATTAGATGATGATTTAACTAAAATATTAAACGCAATTTCGGCGAATCAAATTGTATTGGGTGGAGACCTAAACGCTAGAAATCCTAGGTGGGGGGACTCCTTCGCAAACAATGGTGGAATCGAGTTAGCTAGGTGGTTAGATAAATCTCCATTAATGCAAATTATTCCAACAAGATACCCGTCACGATCGGTCAGTAACTCATTTTTAGATAATTTCTTAGTTTCAGCTTTTGTGACGGTAAAATTTCACGAACATTTTCACAATAAGTTAAGAACATTAGATTATGATTCAGATCACGATGCCGTGGAGATCATTATTTCAACGAATGACACTATAGAAGCCCCTCCGGTAATTATTCCATGCTGGGAACGTACGAACGTAAAGTTAATGAACCAGATGTTAAGTAGGGAACTTACGTTGCACTGCTTGCCAACGGACAGGAATGTGAGTGTTAATGAAATTGAGGAATGCGTCAAAAATATGGACGCAGTTTTTAAAAGAACTATAGAAAAATGTGTACCAAAGATAAAATTAAAGAAAAAATGTAACTTAAATATTCCACAAAATATTCTTGATTTTATTCATGAAAGAAAAA